TTATCTCTGAACGGCGAAACAGTAACATCAACCATGTCATACTTAACATCAGACACATCGTTACAATTAACAGACAAGTCAACATGACTTACTTTCCTGTTTGCATCCAAGACGCTCTGTCCATTCTTTGACCCAGGTATTGTTGAACATGGCCCAATTCCAAAAAGTTCCAGATATTGCTTGATCAAAGAGGACTTGACCGGCACCATGAGAGATGAACGGTGACTATCCAAAATCCTGCCAACTGTCGAAAACCGTTTAAAATCTGACGTTGTGCCGTCAGAAAATGTCAGCCACGTCTCGTAAACCGTTAATGCTCAGCTCTTGCTGCACTCGGGCCCACGCTGTTCATTGAAGTTTCTCAGAAACGCTTAGTAATAACGGAAGAAAAAACCAAAACACCAATTGGCGACTCGAGGATTCTTTATTGTAACACCAACATATAAACACTGTTACAACTAAGGTCTGTGAACAGATATTACAATAATAAATCACAATATTACTTCTGACGGTTTTCTGCTGACTTCTTTCTGAACAGTGACCGATGAGACGATGACTGTCGTATTGATGCCTCCGCGAAAATTGGGGAAGTTGATTTTGAGAAAACAACCATGAATTGATCGTTCAATCTTCAACTCCATTGACACTCCCCGGCAAAAAAGGGATCCAACCCTTTTTTCCTTCACGACCAATGCACGTTGACTTGGATGCCATTGCGAGAACCTGGGTCACACGGACAGAGCTGAAATGGAAAACAAACAGAAAAGCCAACACACCACAAGCATACCCACAGCACAATCTCACACATCGCTGACGACCTGCGCCTCCAGACAGAGACCTCCTCTTGACATCTTGCAACACAATCGCCACTTACTAGAATGACTCTTGCAGAATGCAACGTGACCATAGCAGCACCTCATGATACTCTACGCACATCCTCTTATCTACTCACCACCAATTACCACTGCAATCGCTTGTCACTCATTCTGCCTCAGTTCTAGTAGCGGTGACGCATGCGAGCCTCAGTCGTTTACACTCTTTCTCCCCGGCGTGTCGGACCGCAGCTAACAATTATCTCCGTGTGCATTTCATTCTCAGCAATAGCCTAGCCTCCCCGGCGTATACGACCCATCTGCTGTCCTTAACATCAATCAATTCATTCACGGATGTAGAAGACTCAAAACAACTTCAGAAGTAATCACGACGAAAATTTTAACAAAATTATGCAATAACAACAAGGCACGAAAACAACGAGTAAACACAACTGATCCAAAATCACAAATTGCGAAGACACACCACACGTATACACAAACAGTACAAATAACCTCGCGGATCATGTCTCGATGGAATTCCTTTAAAGAATTGCAGGACTTACACCAGTACGCCTGTACCCTTCACAGGTTGACGATTGTAAGTTGTGGAATGTCCAGACACAAACAAGATTAACCAACAATTACATCAATTGGAACTCACACAACTATTTAACACAAACATATGTACAATCAACACATCAAATGTTGTGGATTCTGACACGACAAACTACCCTTGAAGAACTGTAGGACTTACAGCAGTACGCCTACATTCCTTCTCAGGTTGATGATCCAAGTGGAAGTCGTCCGGACACAAACAGAATTACCAACAGCTAGATGACAGATGATATCAATTCAGTATATACAATATGAACATATGTACAATATCACACACCAAGCACATTGGACTGCTCATTGATGCGCTACCCTTTGAAGAATTGTAGGACTTACACCAGTACGCCTACAACCCTTCTCAGGTTGACGCTCTAGGTTGGAAAATCGTCGCAGAGTTCATTTGCTAACTTCCTTCTATCAGCTATATCCTCAAATCTGAACGGCAACACGCCCATGTCATTGTATCGTAGAATATAGATGACCAACAAACACACGACATATCTCATCAACCAAGTGTATAAACAGAGTAATTTACACCAAAGATAATAACATTCAAATAGTAACTTGAAACTAGAAATGCCTTTATTCGTGCAAGTCAATTTAACAATTACTCTCTCGTTTACACTTGGCTTATCCACACTAAACTGACCATTGATATTCGTCCTTTCAAACGAACTGATACTACCATAGTCATTGCACAAGATACTTGAGTTGATGGGTGTCTGTTTCATTGTGGATGTGAGCACCAACGATGACTGAGTGACACAAGGTGATGAACTTAGTGGTGGATCAGAAGCTGTTCTTGTTCGGCTCTCAGATAGTTGTCCAACTGCAAGATTACCACCACTGCTGTCTTTCACTACTAGTTCGGGTTTAGCACTATCATCTGATGATAGGTGGGCTACACGCTGATCAATTACACTGACTGTCTCACAAGTATGCACACCTTTTGGAACTGCATCTGCGTTCAATTCTACTTCACGTTGTAGTTGTACAGAACCTTTATTTAACTTAGCAGTAGTAGGCATATCCCTCATCTCATCATGATCAACCAAAGACAAATGTGAAGTATCATGATCATTATCACGAATATTCAATTTACCGTCAAGTTCATCATTTTCAAACTCTTTAATAACAGAAGTAGACAATTTTGGTTCCTCCTCACAAATCATTAAAGGTTTTATATCTTCACTCTGACTAGTAATACCTTGTAAACTTGTAGGGTCAGAACTGCACTCTGAAGCAGTAACTCTATTCTGTGACACTCTATTCAACAACGGCTTACCAGTTGCAACTACAGACTTCTTCACAGCACCGTTATCGTCACACAATTCGGAGTCAGGCCTGGAGTTTACATTTAGCTTATCACTGAACTTGCTCACTGGTTCACAGTTCACTTCTGTATGCACCTCTTGCACACGTGTAAAACACAACCGTGTTTGTCTTGCATCTTGTAACTTATCTGTTGAGGATGTACTACGAAACCTGTTACACTCACTAGGTCTATATGCATTACTAGACATCATGGAGCCTTCTCGATATCCACCTCTCTGAGGCTTATTCGTCATCAATGATTGCATTTTACCCTCAGACTGCTCTATTCTAGGGGTGAGATGTAATAGACTGGCGAACTTGCTCATAGATTGATTGACACTATTATTTACCAGTTTCAGGATATCATCAAACTTTGGCTCGATACCCTCATCCTCCATACGGGAGCTTATCTTCACCCACTTCCTTTGCAGTCGAGTAGGTAGACGTCTTGCTATTACTTCTAGTATAAAACTCGAGTTGAGGTCACTCATTCGATTCATCGAAATCATTCCATTCTTGTAAATTAGCAAATTATCTAAAAACTCAGTGAGTGCCTGGGAGTCATCCTGTAATTGACCACCATTACCCTTAACAGCCTCGAATAATTTCCCTGCAATCATCGAAGGTCTTCCAAACCTTTGACGTAATATGCTCATAGCCTCATCGTAGCCCTCCTTTGGCTTCATAAACTTACAGCACTGTATAGCTCTTGCAGCATCTCCAGTGCAATATCTCATCAAATACATTAACTTCAATTCATCATTTAATAAAAACCACTCAACATGATCTCAAACTCCTTTACAAATTGTAAATAATCAGCCGGGTTTCCATCAAAACACCGTGGTTCAAATTTAGGGAGTTTGATGTTCCTATTATCCCTGAACGGCGAAACAGTAACATCAACCATGTCATGCTTAACATCAGACACATCGTTACAATTAACAGACAAGTCACCATGACTTACTTTCCTGTTTGCATCCAAGACACTCTGTCCCTTCTTTGACCCAGGCATTGTTGAACTTGACCCAATTCCAAAAAAGTTCCAGATATTGCTTGTTCAAAGAGGACTTGACCGGCACCAGGAAAATGAACGGCGACTATCCAAACTTTCACCAACTGTTTGAATCCGCCAGATCTGTTTCTATCGTCAGAAACTGTCAGCAAAGTCTCATAAACCGTTAATGCCCAGCTCTCGCTACGCTCGGGCCCACGCTGTTCTTAGAAGATTTCTCAGAAACGCTTAGTTATAACGGACGCAAAAACCAAAACACCGATCTGCCGTTTGATATTTCTGTATTGTTACACCAACATATAAAAGGAATAAGCGAACTAAGCAAACTAAGGTTTCTGACGATGTTTCATTCTTTTTTCTGAACAGCGACCGATGAGACGATGACTGTCGTATTGATGCCTCCGCGAAAATCGAGGAAGTTGATTTTGGGCAAACAACCAAGAATTGATCGTTCAATCTTCAACTCCATTGACACCGCCACTTGCTAGAATGTCTCTTGCAGAACTGAAGACTTTATCTGAATATCACCGCTGCATGTGTTGAAAATGTTGTCCAGAATTCTATATGGATATGCTAATAATTAGACCTGAAACATCGTGCCTGCTTGGGCGTTCACTGTCTATCCATTTCGCAAGCACTGATAGACAAGGACTAGTGTAACTCCTTGTATCATTTGTCCTCAGTATACCGGTTGTTATTTCCACCGAAATACGATGACTATTATTCCAGATGTCTGCTTGATTAACATCAGCGTTTCAACATTTACTAATTAATAACCTTCATCAAAATTTGCAATTTCTTCTTGGTTATGCATTCAGTTTTTACAAAATTTACTAGTTTCCAGTCAACCCTTGATCAGAAGGCTGTTGCACAAAACTATTTTTCTCAGCACTCCTGTTCAGTAACATACCAAATGTTCGTAAGCTAAGCGAACCTACATTAAAATGTTCGTGTCTGAGAAATCCACACTGGGCAGTGACTATATGAATCCCATGAGTCTAAATTCGAGACTCAGAGCGATTACTTAACAAGTAAAAAGTGGAGGTGAGTGACTTTATTTGACATCATCAGTGATGCATTCATTATTGACAATGAGTTAAATATTTCCTAACTTTCCATACTCTGTAAGTTGATAAAAGCTTCATAAAGGTTGAGAAAATGTTATTCAAAATAAATGTATATATAAATTTAACCCATTGTTATGGATTATTATTAAAAGTATACATCAGAACTTGAAAGTTGTTTTAATCACTCAATTTAAATTATAAGACCAACGGTTTGCTGTGTGCCTCCCGAAATTTCTGTCTGTGACCGTGGGTATGTAACGTAATGTTTGTAAAGGTCTATTTATAGGTTGAATTTGGAACGTTGCATGATTTGTGAGTAAAAACAGTGGGATAATCGGTGTTCTTCTGTTAGGTGGCTTTCAAAGCAGGTTACTTACTCGTCTGTATTATATATTTAATCCTTAAATAATATCTTAGTGTTCAGTCTACTGAGATAATGAATCTGAATGTATTCGATATAATAATTCTTGTGATATATTTTATAGCCCTGCTGGGTACCGGAATATATGTGAGTTTCAAAGTACTCTGAAACTGTTTATTTCCATAAGGCTTTATTTGCTTCAAGAAGAGGGACTGTGAGTGGATATTTTTTAGCTGGACGGTTTATGACATGGCTTCCTGTATGTTGACGTTTTCAAATACATAATTTTTATTTTAGGTGGGTGCATCACTCTTTGCCAGTAACATTGGGAGTGAACATTTCATCGGTCTTGCTGGGTCAGGGGCAGCAGCAGGTATAGCTGTTGGTGCTTTTGAACTAAATGTAAGTGCAGGGTTTCAAGAATAGTGGCCGATAAATTAATATGTACTGTCGGCAGGATATTTGCCTGCTGTTTATTCGTACATCAGCCACGTAATCTTCCAATGTATCACCCGATGATTGTTACTCACTATTTGAATATTAAAATATAGTCAACGAAAAGACATCCCATGTTTTGCTTTCTAGGCATCAATTTTACTTCAGCTCCTTGGATGGGTTTTTCTCCCAGTTTATATTGCAAGCGGAGTAAGTTGCTGTTTAATCCGCTTATTTTTTTTGTCAAGGTTTTCACGTTACCAGAATACATGAAAAAACGGTTTGGGGGTGAAAGAATACACATATATCTTGCTGTTTTATCGCTCATACTTTATATTTTTACGAAGATTTCGGTAAGTCAGTGCATTATCTTATGAGAATTTGATTTTGTACATAAAACAGTTAATAAAATTAGGAGACATGAGTGCACACACCGGTCTTTTATGAAATAAAATTGATAAATATTTACGCCTTAGTGAATTGACTTATTTCACTGATTTTTCGCTAAATAAAGAGCCACAACAATTTTGAAATCTTTTTAAAAGCTTGGATTATTTCTTGTCGGAAAACCTGCAAGTTGTTGTTAACCTTGTTACCTCAGTTTGTAAACATCCTCATTGTCCCAGTGCACTTTGTTTCATGTCCTACATAATAATATAAAACCAGTTTTTTTATACATACTATTGCGACTACTTCCATTGAAGACAAGACAACGTGTAGACCAGGCGCATCTTTAGACTGTATTTCGTATTCTAGATAGTTAAACAGAAACAAGTGTTGAGTGCTAAATAGTGTGCTGGTTGCTATTTTATCTTCAGGACTTATTATTTTACTAGCTAGTCATAAGTCTATAATGATCTTTAACTGATAGGGTTCAGCAGATATTAACAAGTGACTGGCTGCACATCACCATGTTGTCCAGCCAAGGTTTTCTTGAACCACCTTCATGATTCGAACAATTTCCGTCAAATAATAAATACATCCAAAATGTGCTACACCTTATTAGTATATCTCAGAAAGTTCCAATAGTGTGACTGGGAGAATATAATGAAAAGTACGTTAGTCAAATTTCCAGTATGTTCCAATTCCTTCCTATGAACTTTAGTTTACTTTTAGAGAATTTTTACGTGTATTAGTTAGAATGAATTGAACTAGTAGCTTTTAAGTACGCAAGAATGTCATTGACAATTAGTCATATTACTTCGGCTTGTATGAAACCTCAAATTTACCTTTAGTGATTCCTTTTGAGGATTAGGGCTTATTTGTAGTAATTAATATAAACAACCATGTTTAGATTTGAATCCTGTGAAAATGCCTGGTAACTAATGAAATGTTTTGTGGTGGTTGTGACTATTTACAATCAAATTATGGACACAACGCATAATTTGCTAGTGTATCTAATCAATAATTGCTGTTATCCTTACGGAAGTATCTGCAACCAATATTACCTTAACGTGCTGAATGTGCACATGTAAAAACATATTTAACCTGTTTACAGATCATATAATATGTATGAAAGTGAGTTGAATGAAGCAGAGGTTTCTAGCCACATACATCTTCTTATAATTACAGATCTTAGTTAGAATTTTGGTAATGTGATTAAAAATGACCTACTGATGATATATTTTACACTTTTCAAAATTTTTCAAGTTTACAAAGTAACCATACTTCTTTAATGGAATAGGACGAAAATCACCACTAAGGCTCTGGATTACTCCCTCCTTGTTATTTCAGGAATATGATTTTCCTACCACCCTTCGTCTCTTCATTTTCTTAGTCACATGATCTTCTTAGTTTCTTTTATGAAGTGGTTTCTGCAAGTGTAGAAAGTGAAATTAGTCTGCTTATATGTAAAGTCACATATTAGGGCTTTTAGTCTAAGAATGTTACAGCGTTAGATCTTGGCATAACAATTTTTTCGTCTAGTTATTCTTCCAACTGTAGGTGGTATCGTTTTGAATATAAAAGGAGCGCTCTGAAGTTTTATCGGGAATTGGTGTGATGGTCAGGTGGCCAACGCATTCTATGACGTTTCCTATTCTTAAACTGAGAGTAAGTCATGACCTGCTGTATAGCAAAATCTTAAACATGAGAGGGATAAACGAGTGAAAGAAGTACTCTTGTGTGTCCTCATAGTGCTCAAAAGTCTGAATCTCATCAGTATTGTGTAATTTAATCAGCTAGCTGCTTTTCAGACAAGAAGTCTATTCCCTGAAAGTTGTAATCAAGTTAAAACATTTATATCAGTGAGTTAATAATAGTATTAAATGGGATTAGGGGAGTGAAGAAGATTTAGCAAACAGTGTTAGTTATGATTACTTCAAATGAAAACTCAGGATAACTTATAACTGTCTAGATTTGTAAAATGTCCACGGATTGGCGTAACATTATTTCTCTTCACCAACTTCTCAGATAGACGTAAGTGGGACACCGCTACAATGGCGGAGTAAGATATATCTTTTCCTCTTAGAGATTCAAGAGGTGTTTCGTCCTGGAAGATGTTCACTTCTAAACATATCTATTTTTCTAACTTGAGTTTTTCCTTATCTGCGCTTATTTTTCAGGTGACCATATCCCTTAGAATCCTTTTGCAGACTGATTTAGAACGTTAGAAGTTGAATTGATGCACATGATCAAATCCCACAAACCAACTCTTGAAAATTAATCCAATGTCCGCTAGTGACTTGTTACAGGACTAAGTTTTCTGAAATTCTAGAATGAGAAGTCGTGACCAGTGGGGTCCAGCCGGTTGGGAGTGAAAATAAACATTTGCCGAAGATACTGGCTGGTGAGGGCGGGGGGGTGGCTAAAGTCACTAACCTGTGAAAGTTAGAATTTCTAGGCCATTAGATCAGATCTCAGCGGCTAACTGGTCTACAAGATCGCCTTGTATTGTTGTATGTTAATTCATAGGTCGTGCAGATTTCATACTAAAAAAAAAGTACTTATGTCATCATGAAACAGATCTAAAACACCGATTTCAGCTAAGGAAATTCTCTTTTAAAATAATTTCATTTTTATATATATACAGTTGTAGTTATGAATTTATGGATTGCAGTAGAGACAACCAAAAGCAGTTTTTTTGTGTGTGTATGCATGTATATATGAGTAGACATACTAAAGTGCAACAGTATTGGTGTAGATGATAATGACTCACAAAGTGATTAGAATGAATAGATAAGTGAATGAATGAAGAAGGGTCACCAACACAAAGTTCAATAGACATGAGTGAATGGATGACAGGGCTATTTGTTCTTATAGAAGGATTAAGTACATTCGGAAGAGAGAAATGTGAGTACTTGAATTTGTCAAGTCAAATAGAATAAGATGATAGTATAAGATGAGTGAACTGTCGTCAAAGACTTCTTCTATACAAAGCAAATATTCTCGTGTCAGACGTGTTCAACACGTGCCAAATTTTGATGTAGTTGTGTTCTCTGACCTAGCTGGATTGTTTATTTGCGAAGCTTTCACTGCCTTACAGCACAGGACACATCTTCAGTGCATACGTCGATTTGAAGTGAGCATTTAAATTTCTCCACGGGTTTATTAGTCCTCTCTCTCCTGTTGACCTCGAATGTGATTAGTTGCTCCTGTCTGTTTTCACACCTTCTAGTCTACTTGTATTAGTATTGATTGTTTCCTTGACCTGAAATCTAACTTTTTGTGCATGAGGTTTTTTCTTATGCATTGGTTAATTTTATCTATGTCAATGTGTTTGTTAATTGTCCATTTACTGGAATACCAGGCTTCCAAAAATTCCCTGTCGTTTTTGGTGTTTCCTTAACGTTGTCCCAATCGAATTGATGTCCGTGGCTGTCTGTATGCAGTGATATGAGGTAAGGAGTGGGTGTCATGTCTGTTGACGGATAGTGTATATTAATGGATACGATGACGAAGAGGACGTCGACTTTGACCAGTGTAGTGTTTTTCGCACTTGTTACAATTTATTTTGTAGACGATGTTGGTTTTATCTTCTTTTATTGTTGAGTCTTTTGCTTGACACAGCGCTGGCTGTCTGGCTGAGTGAAGTGATTTTGTTGGTTTGTGTGAGACATCAAATCCTAAAGGTTTGAAGAGTCTCGCAGTGATTTCTGAGATGCCCTTTATATATGGTAGGGCGATTTTCTCTATGATTTCCTTGCGGGGCTTTGATTTGATAGGTTGGCTTGGGGGTACATGTCTTTTGATGAAACTTCGTGGATATCCATTCTTTTGAGAGACATCCATGAAATATCTTTCTTCAATTTTCCTTAAGGTGGGAGTGCTGCAATGAGTACTGGCTTGCCCTGTTGAATAGTGTTTGTATACAATTCCCTTTGTATGTTATTTAATTGTTGCTGTTGCTATTGAATATTTGGTCTGTGTTAGTTGATTTTCCATAAACTTTAGTTTCCAGTTCCCCTGTATTTGTTCTCTTGACTAAGACGTCCAAAAATGGAATTTCGTCCGCGTTTTCCTCTTCCCTTGTGCATTCGATGTCATTGAAGATGTTGTTTATTAGGTTTTGAATTTTGTCTGATTCATTTCTTTTGATTATCACATAACGTATCCAAATTTAGAGTTTAACCTTTGATAGGATCATGTTTTCAAGTCTTTGCATTACAGCTTCCACAATCAGATCTGATATGGCGCATCATGGTTACACACAGCTTCTGGATGTATCATTTAGCATTCTCTACATGGGATACGAGAATGCACTTGCTTAATAAAACGAACTGTTTGACATTACATAACAAGAATAATCTTTGTGATCACTTTTGTAACTGGACAGCCGTTTCGTCATAGTTTGGGACTCTTCAACAGTGTGCACACACCGGGGCTCGAACCCAGGACCTTCTGGCTACATGGCGAGCTCGTAGACCATAAAGCGACTGGGACCCGATCCAGTGGTCCTTGAATTCTAACTTCTGCCGGTGTCTGATGGATGGTCTACGAGCACGCTTCTCTTATAACCAGAAGGTCCTAGGTTCGAACCCTGGTGGGTGCGTACCGATGAAGAGTCCTAAACTAGGACGAAACAGCTGTTCAGTACTCCCAGCTAGTTTTCCAATGGTTCTGTAACTGATGTCAGTTCATGATGAAATCCTCCATTCAATCAAACAAATATATCTCTACAAAACCAACACTTTTGTTACCTTGAAACTAATTTTATCACGTGATTCAAACATTTCTTCATTCCGTGTTGTCGTCTCATTTATTTCACTTCACATCATCATCACCACATGCTATGCGTTGAGCGCACATTGATGACTATTCAGCAACTCGAAAGGAATCCAACGGTCCATCGATATTAACTTCTACCAGTTGGCGTTATAATATAAAGCGACTACCACTCAATGTTGTAATGATAATAATTTTCTTCAGGGGTTTAATGATTGTTTATTTACCTAACAAATGAAATTTAAAAAAAACAATTAATGGTTTTTTGTTTCTGAGAATGGTATAGATGAATAGTGTTCAGTACATATATATAAATTTTTTTAATCGGCAAATTAATCAAAGAACACATGACTTCGCAAGTTTAGAAAATCAATGAAAGTTGTAAATATGTTAAAGGCGAATAATAACAAAACAAAACAATGTGGAGATGAAAAGGATTAAATTTAAACAAAGTGTTATTTGATACTGTTTTCTTTGACTAACTACTTTTTATTTCTTGAGTTTTTTTAGCGGTAGATATAATTCCCCAAAATTATTGGCCACATTGGCATTCATCACTGAACATTGGATGTTGACCTTCACTGTTTAAGTCAACTTGTTCATCATAAATGTACTGATAGACTTAACCCTAACTCACTTCAGAGAAACAGGGATTGACTTGCTACCAGAGGATAATCTCGTTGACTTAGAATAAGCAGACTATATAGTCCTTCTTCTAGGCCAGGACGCTGACAAAATCCAGCAGAGTCTTCTAAACACCTTGAGCTGCAATCTACGAATGTTTGGCATGCGATTCGCTCCCGCCAAATGTAAAATGATGCTACAGGACTGGCCTGGACTACACTGACTCCTAGTTTAGAAATAGGGAGTGATGTGGTTAGTAAAGCACGCTAACCGCTTCACTTATTTGGGAAGTTGCATCAGCCAGCGCCAACGGGTTGATTTCTGATGAAATCTCTGCATGGATACAGAAGGCTAGTTTCGCATATGCGAGTTTACGCTGTCTCTGGCTTAGTAGACGTGATTTGCGGCCTGCTGGCGACCAAAGGGCGTGTAATCTGCTCAACAGTCCGCTTCGTCCACCTTTATGGCTGTGAGACGTGGCCATTGAGAGTGGAAGACACGAAAAGATTAGCTGTCTTTGATCATAGGTGCCTGCGTTCTATTTCCCGTGTAAAGTGGTATAATAAGGTGAGAATTATTGAGGTTAGACGTCGAGTTCTAGGTAAACAGGGGAAATCAATCGACGAGGTTGTGAATTTACATCAACTGAGATGGTTAGGACATGTGTTACGTATGCCCTGACCATCGCCTTCCTCGACGGCCAATGTTAGCTGATATAGGGTCAGGCTGGAAAAGAGCTAGCGGCGGTCAAACCAAAACATGGCACCAGTCAATGAAATCCACAACAGCTGGTTTAAGCCACGTAGGAAAGTGTAGACTACCTGACTGATTGGTGTCCTCGGGACGGTAAAAATCTATGGTTGGAAACAATTGGTGACATGGCTCAAAATCATTCTCACTGATGGCTGGTGCTGTTAGATGCATCCACTCCTTGTGACTTATGATTTCCAATGAAACTGTCTTCTTCTTCGTTATTACTATTCGTTTGTCTCACACCCCTGTTTACTGTCTCTATTACGCATTTCTTGTACTTTCTTCTCTTGCTTTGTGTGCTACAAGGAGGGAGTGTGGCGACTTGAACTGGTGCACATCGGTGCAAAGCAGTTCTATGTCGAAAACAGACAGACAGACAGAAGTCAGCTTGTTTAGCTGAAGGCTTCCGGAAAAGCATCAAGCATGCTATTTGGTGGTACTCCGTCGTGTCACGTTCGTTCGTTCGTGCACGATACCTCGCTAGCTAAGCAATCATCTCGCACTCCGATTTGGTCCCGAAATATATCTCGTAATTTGGACGATCAATTATTGTGTTGTGCTTTCCCTTTGGTCTATGCGGAACGAATACTATAGAGAATTTGTGGGTATATTAGATCTTGCGCTACCATACTTCGTACTCTTTGTGAACTTCAAGACCTTCAGCCTCTAAAAGTTGGTCTGCATAGTGCATACACTTCTCCTCATTGTGGAACTTTAAAAAATGTGAAGACATTAGCTAAAACACTTGTAGCAATGGATAGTAGGACCACATTTACTCTTTACTATTTCGTAAATTTTTTCCTCAAGTATTTATATTTATTACTTACAGCACCTGTTTTATTTGATTCCTTTATGTTTCAAGTAGAACTATTATGTTCAAGTAGTAGCTGCCATCACGATCCCCCACAAACTTTCATCTCCACCTCACATAATATTCACTCTGTCAATCCTGGACGCCGAGCTCGTCATTTCTCGTTTGCATGAACAGAATTTCTTTGATAATTATCTAAACTGTCTCAATGATAATTATTCATAGTGGTGATTGGTCCTGGGTAACTCAATCACAAAGACCTTACCGCACACACATACAAGTTATCTTTTTTATGCACGTCAAATACATGTTTTAAAAGAGCCCAACTAACTCAGTGGTAACGTCTGTGACTGCAGTCGGCACTGGTTGATACGTGTTTGAATCTCAGAAGGGGCATGAGTTCCTTCCTTCAAGGTTGCAGATACACCGACTTGCTGACGAGTGCCAACTAGCACGAAACCTAGGTCCTGGAAAGGCTACCTGTGTCCGGTTGCTTCCAACCATCTGATATATCATCAAATCAATGTGCACCGTGATGGCGAGCTACCACCTAGTGGCATGGTGGCCACACTGCAAACCTAACTGACTGATAGAATTCAGTCTGCACCAAACAAAGGACTAGCCAAACACAACACACTAGTTACTAGTATACAATTGAGGTAACACATCGCTGAAGTTCCAAACAGTGTACTCTTTGATAATAATTAAAATCATGCACACACATATACATACTGTTGCTGACATCAGGATAGCCAGACCCTCCATGTCTTCGAGGTTACCATCTGGGTGGCCAGAGCTGATTATTGAATCTAGTTATCAATTTAGAGTCCACTACCATTTCGACCTTCTTTAACATATTCCTGTTATTTCTCTCTCTCTACCATACCTTCTCATTTCTTCTGCAATTTGAGCAGCCTTAACAGTCATCCTGTGCGTCGGTGGCACAGTGGTTATGACTCTTGCCGACCATGCACATGGTCCGAGGTTCGAGCCCACGCCGACGCACACCTGATATCTATGGTCGACCTGTAAAATTTGGACTATCGATATCCACACTGAAAATTCCATACTTGTACCAAAAACGGTGTGGAATCAAGCTGTAATCAAAAATCAAAAACAAAAAATCAAAAGATCAAAATATGATTCGAACACTGCATGCCCCTATACTTACTTCTGCTTTCATCAAAAGAAGATACATTAGCTGGAACGACTTCCTGATGACTTTCACCAGTCAGTATTATTTCATCTTTCCGATTTCAAAAGAAGGATAAATTTATTTATTTATTAATTTGTTTATTTTTACATCTTTTTGTACATTAACTTTCTTTAGCAATTAGGTTGCTTTTCTAGAACAGGACGGGGCAGGGCAGCTACTCCCACTCTCAAATTTCCCACCTTCTTTGTCCGTAGGACAAGCTAATAGACTAGGCTAGATTTCATAAACTTCTAGATGTGAAATATTACTTAACCCTTGTAAAGGAAGCAAATTAGGCTAAAATTAAGTAGAAATTTAAACTATCTAGTGGATAATTAAGCATTTTCCGCCGGTGGCACAGCGGTTAGGTCGTTCGCCGACCATGCACATGCTCCAGGGTTCGATCCCCGGCCACCGACGCATTGCTTTACCTCACTTAGCCAGTAATTAAGACTGATGAAGAGGAAAAGTTGGGCCAGATGAGGCTAACAACCCTATCCTGTAAAAATAAACACCACTGCTACCGAAACTTTAAGCCTCTTTAGCTTGAAGATCTCTGTATGTTCCACTGGGAAAGTGAAGAAATAAAGAAAATATGTGACTTTTGCATACTCTTTAGTAATAGTTAGAAAGTCATACATGCATATATATATGTATTTACATATGTAAAGTGCTTTTTTATTACCATTATTTTGTTTTTCAGGTTAATTTATATTCAGGTTCATTATTTCTAACCGAAGCATTAAACTGGAACACTTGGGTATCCATAGTTCTGTTGCTTCTGCTAACCGGTCTTATAACTGTCACAGGTAAGATTTCATTTGTATTATTTTTATGCTAATACTTTGATCATTCATTGTGGAATATTCCGTTTCATTGAAAAGTTTACGATTTCTGTTTTGCGTGCATTTTGTGTGTAAGAAAAAATGTGGATCGACTTCCAGCCAAACGAAACACAGGGTGTTCAAATTCTCCTCAACCTACTTCACACTGACGAAATGAATAGAATCGTCAGCGTTCACGTCAAAAGTGTGTGCAGCTTACAGCCTAGAATATGTAAAATCTGTTTCGGTTAACTAAGGTATAACGGTCTACATTAAAGAACACAAAAACACCTATGGAATTGGTTAAAGGATTTCATCATGAGCTGACATTGGTTAAAGAACCATTGGAAGACCTCGGATTACTGGACAACCAGCTGTCTCATCCTATTTTGGGGCTCTTCAGCAATACTCACACACACCGTCAGGGTTCGAACCCAGGACCTTCTGGTTACAGTGTGAGCTCGTAGACCATCCAGCTGCTGAGACCCGATCCAATGGCCCATGGATTCTAACGCCTGCCAATTCACGACATGGCGCGGCTGGTACTAGCCAATGTCTTCGGCAAGTATTTGTCCTCACACCCGACCTGCTGCATCCTACCGGTCACGACTTCCCACCAGAACCCCAGGTAACTACCTACCTGAATAGGACCAGTCGCCAGTGAGCATCTCATTGATATTCAAATATCGGTTTGTAGGGATTTGGTTGATTGGTTCCTGGATTTCACCATGAGCTGACAGCAGTTAGAGAACCATTGGAAAACCTGGGACTACTGGACAGCTGTTTCGTCCTAGTGTGGGAATCTTCAGAAGTACGCACCCACACCACGGGGTTCGAAACCAGGACCTTCTGATTACAAGGCAAGCACCCAGTGGATGCGTACTGATGAAGAGTCTCAAATAGGGACGAAACAGCTGTCAAGTACTCCCCGGTTTTCCAACGGTTCCTTTGCTGTCAGCTCATGATGAAATCCTGTTACCAATCAACCAAATCCTTACAAACCAATACTTGAATACCTACGGAATTACTGTGAACTGTTAGCTTAGTTCTTGAATTATCACAATAGGGAGGTTGTTTTGTGATTATTATACGATTATACAAACAACCATCCATCTAGTAAATCATGTTAAAACTGATAATCCAGAGGATAGTAGTTCTTGTACTCTTGCTGTAATCAGATGTTTATTTCACCTCTAATAATCAGCTGTTACACAAAAGTAACTAGTCTATCGAATCAAGGTTATACTAGATTGATTCTCACCATCAGAACTTTTCTTAGAAATCATGAGCTTTCAGAAAAAAACTGGTGAAACAAAATGTGTGGTGACTGAAAGTGGATTGAGAATTTGCGTTGCTGCAGGATTCAAAATATCATCCTCCAACTCACTAGTTCAGTGCTTTATCAGGTGAGCTACAAGATCCAATTACTAAATAGGCTATTATTTCAATGCAGTCATTACACAGGTGATGAAGTGACGACCTAGTTAGCAGTTGTGTCCAGTAGCTCAGTTGATAAGGCACCGGATTTGTAATACTGAGATCCTTCCACAACCTAGATTTTTATATCATCTTCGATCACCGTTCACGTTGACCATTTCAGTTATTTGGGAAGTTGTGTCAGCCAACGCCAGCGGGCTGATCGCTGATGAAATCTCAGAACGGATACACAGAAGGCTCGTTTCACATATGCCAGTGTATGCTGTCTCTGACTTAATAGATCTGATATCCGGGCGCGTGTACTGCTCAGCAGTCCACTCCGTCCTCCTTGGAGGACATGAAAAACTGACTAGCTATCTTTAATCATAGATGCCTGTGTTTTATCTTTTGCGTCAGGTGGTGGTATAATAGGGTGAGCAATGTTGAGGTTAGATATCGGGTCGGATGCTAGGTAATGAGGAGGAGAAATCAATAGACAAGGGTGTGAAGTTACACTGACTGAGGTGGTTAGGACATGCATTGCGTATGTCTAGCCTAGCCATCGCCCTCCTCAACTGACGGGAAATGTTAGCTGAATGACATAGGATGGATGAGGTTGGAAAAGCGCCAGTAGTGGGCAAACTAAAACATGGTTTCACCATTCGATGAAATCCATAACAGTTGGTTTAAGCCACGTAGGAAGGTGTAGACTACCTGACTGGTTGGGGTCCTCGCGATAGTAAACACCACTGAAGGCTGGAGACAACTGGTGATATGGCTCGAAATCGTCGTTCTCAATGATGGCTTGCATTGTTAGATGCATCCACTCCTTGTGGCTTATAGTTTCCAATGAAACTATATTGTTCTTCGTTATTGCCATTCGTTTTGTCTGATATCTCTGTTTACTGTCTCTATTTTGTATTTCTTCTACTTTCTTCTCTTGCCTTGTGTGGTACAAGGAGGGAGTGTGGCGACTTGAACTGGTGCACATCAGTGGAAGGTTCTGTGTTGGAACTAGTCAAACAGAGAGACCGTTCACTTCATAAAGAATAGTTAGTCTGTTAAGGCAAGACCATCCCATGGAATCCTAATCATCAGTGTGATAATTCTACCGAGCGAAACATCATTCAATGGCTCTAACTTCCCAGATTGTTTGTGAAAAAGCCATTCATTTAAAAATGTGATCTGAAATTCAACTTTACAAGAATAGTGGTATAGAATACTAATAGTATTATTCCCTTGGATCCCCAGTGGAACATATAGCTTCAACAATACATCTCCATTTTCCTCTATTTGATGTTGTCCTCTTCATCTGGCTCCACAATTGACCTTAATCTCTCATCTCCTCCGCATCCCCCAAAGAGTCTCCTCCATGACACCATCGCACTGACGATCCAATTGTCACTTCCCACTTGGGTTCCCCTCGAAAGCCTGGCGCACGGTGTCACCTGACGGTATCCTCAACGTATGCCCGGTCTATCTCCATTTCCGGGCAATAGGCTCTCGGTTAGTTTGTTGCCAGTGTTTCTTGTTGCTAAGGAAACGGATTTATATGCAAGATAAATGATCTTTATCTAGATTCACGTTACTGAAAGGATATTCGGACAGACAAAATAAAACTGTAATGACAGTAAAGTTCGGAACACGTATTTCGTCCTATTTAGGAGTCGTCAGGTGGATGTGCCTGTATTCCAGCGAGTGATGGTAATCCCACCCACTAAAACTTAAACCAAGCACACCTTGTTTTAAAAGTCAAGGGGTTACCCACTCAACTGGTGGGCCACAAGAACCACATCTTGTGAAGTGGGTGCTGGCTGTTATTTCTTAAGATTATTTTGAATATCTTATGTATTCAGAGTTGTATCATTAGTACACTGACTCTAAAGTAATTTTTTCACAGGCTAAAAAATAAAACTAATCATTAATAAAGAAGACAGTTGAAGTAAGCATTTGAGATTTTTAATAGATTGGAAGACAAGTTGACTGAGTTTTTGACTGAAAAGTGCAAAGAAGTTAAGGTAGCAAAAAGAAACTCACAATGAGAAAATGGAATATGTTAAGACTCATATATACTAGTCATGAAAAATTCCCATTCGAAAATGAATAGAGAGAGAAGACCAGTAGTTCAGTGAAGAGTCTCTTTTCCCCGGCGAATTCATAGCTGTACAATTGCAAATATATATGCATGGTTGTTTTGTCTGTGTGTGTGTGTACATTAAATTTGTCCAATGAAAATACAGTTAGTAAGTTCAGATGAATTGGATGTTGATATAAGAGGGTAGTAACAAGAGGGATGAGTTGTCACAAGAGATTGTTAAAGAAAAGCTACGAAAAAAGCATGAACAGTTTGATGAAAGAGTTGTACTCAGGGTACTAATGGAATTCATGTACTCAGGGTGGACATGGAAACAATTAAGCATACGGAATTACGTAGAAGTTTTAAGTAGTTAGAAAAATAAGCAAACTAGCAAAAGTTAAGTCAACTCAACAGAGTTGTTACCATGATATTAGAAGTGGCTGAATAGTTTTCTGTTCTTTTCTGTATGCATAGTTCTGGTTCTTCCAACTGAATGGCTAGGGCTTCTGTAATGCAAAGAAGACGGAAACGTATTGTCTTTGGAAGGTTGTTCTTCATTTCGTAAACAGAAGACTGGATGCAAAATGTAGATATTATAGATATTATAAATGGCTTCTTATCAGAAATCAGCCAATGGTCCAAGGAAAACGGTCTCACCTTAAACCCCTCCAAATGCCAAACAGTTAATTTCACCTTTAGGCACAAATCTGACCTAAACAAACTGGTTAGGACTCACGAGATGTGCAACATAGATGGCACTGAGATTGAAACCAAGTCGAAAGTTAAATACCTAGGTGTCACTCTATCTTCTGATCTTTCCTGGTCGTCTCATATCTTGACGATTTCCAAGAAAATATTCCGTCTTACCTTCTACATCAAGAAGTTAAGACTTTCTGGTGTAACCCAACCCTTACTCCTACAATTTGTTAACTTCCGTATTCTGCCTATTATTCTCCATTGTTCCCCCTTAGTCTTTCCTGGGCTATTGAAGAAAGACTATACCTTACTACGTAGGATGTTAAAGGTTGTCAGCAGGGTAAGCAGTTTGCCACTTAGCCAGCTTGTTAATATTCTGGTGGACAGGCACATAGACTCATGTGAAAAATGGGCAAAAACCATTTTATCTGACTCACAACACCCTCTACATTCACAACTCTCCCCATGTATCTCTTCAGGGAAAACCAGAAGCCTATATAGGAAACTATATGCCCGCACTAGCAAGTACAAAAACTCATCCATACCCTACCTAGCTCGAGTTCTGTGCGATAAAGAAAGTATTAGGCGTGAAACTTATAACTTATTAAATAGTCAGTAGAACAAATGGATCTTGTCTTTCCAAGTCACATCATTTACAGGTACAACGTCTTCTCTCTACCTTTTTTTTCATTCTGTATTTATTTTTGTTATGTGCTGTTTTGTTTCTCTCTTCCTTACAAACTCTACTTAAAACATTCGTCTTCGTTCTCTCACACTCTGTATATCTCGACCTTTG